ATCTCCTCAAGAGCCTCCCCATAGAGATTACACCCCGGAACATCCTATGGGACAGTTCTACTCTGTCCCTCTGAGTCAGTGCCAGCTGACTCGACTCTCAGGATGGCACCTGACCACAGCATTGCGCTGGTGTCCCAGAGGCACGAGCAGTTAGCACTGTTTGAAAGAGCCCTGGTGGTGTAAGGGTTAAAGGACTCAGCTTCTAACTTAAAGACTGGGAGTTCAAAACCAGCAGGTGCTCACGTCACTTGATTTCTTGACGGCTGCTTCCACAAGCGGCGAGAAGCACAGAGGGGGATAAACTCCACACTCCCTGCCATCAGGGCAATTCTGACTCATGGGGTCCTTAGAGGACAGGATAGAACTGTCCCCGTGAAACACCAGAGTAGAAAGCTTCAACTTTCCCCCATGGAGCAGCTGGTGGTTTCGAACTGCTGGCCTTGCGGTTAGTAGACCAGTGAATAACCACTAAGCCACCAGGGTTCCTCTCAAAGGGCCTACATGTTAGCTCTAATTCTAGAAACTTGGCTTCTAGGGATACATTTCTGAGTTACATTTTCGGAATTCTGAAAATCGCTTCTTCAAGAAATGTAGTTGTCAGCTGTCCAGCATTTTAACACCCTTACTCAAACTCACTGCTGTTGAGTGGAAGCTGACTTATAATCTCAAATTTATGGAAGCAGATTCTCTGCACCCTGCTTCCTGACCCCTGGAGTACCACTCTGTGGCCTAGTACCACTGACTAACCCAGCTACTCCTCCCTGGGGCTTGAATCCCTGGGCCATTGTACAAAGCTGCATAGCTCTCAACCAATATTCCCGGCCAGGCAACAGCAGCGCCTATGGGTTTGAACACCACAGGAATAGCCTTAGCAGAAGAAGATCTACGTTTCCAAGGCTGTCACTCTTTATGGGAGTACAAAGCCTTGTAGGGCAGCTTTAGCTGGGCTTTTGGCTGCCTGGCTTTGGTGTCCCAGCCTCCTTCATCATTAGTTGATATCTACTTGCTCCACAACCCATGTCCCCCGCATTGTCCACTCCTTCGCCATCCCCATGATGCCCGGCGATCAGACTGTTGTGATCCAGAGGGTTTCCTGGCTTGTTTTTTCAGACATAGGCTGTCAGCCCTTTCTCCCTAGTCTGTCTCAGTCTGGGAGTGCCTGTGAAACCTGCTCGGCATCACCGCAACCAACAAGCCTCTGCTGGCGGGCCGGTGGTGACTGTACATGGAGTGAATTGGCAAGGATTCCAACCCGGGTCTCGTGGAATGAAGGCAAGAATTCCATCACAAAACCACCATTGCCCCTGCCCTCTCTCAGTTCCTCTCTCTTTCTAAGCTCAGAGCCCCTAACCTTGCTGTGGCTCCTAAAGACGATCTACTAGTTTTCCAATGTGTTTTTTCTCTTTCAAGCCAGTCACCTTTGTTTCTAGTGTTTGCGTCCAGTGATTCAGGTCCTAGTTCCCCGTTGCTGCTCCTGGTCCTTTGCATCACCCCAGGAAACATGATTTCTAGGGACACATTTCCAAGTTACATTTTCAGAATTCGGAAAACCGCTTCTCCAAGATGGTCAAGGTTTTCCACTGTTCTTTGACGCCCTTAACGACTCTATAAAAATGCGTGAGATGCTTTTTAACAACGCTAAATTACCTTCCCGCTCCCATGCTTTGTCTCCTCCATCCTTCTCATTTTTTCCCAACCGATCACGTGCCTTTCTGGCTCATCTACTCTTTTTATTCGATCTTCATTTTCCCCTTAGGGCGTGTGTGATTTAATAACCCTTTATTGTAGATGAGCTCCATGCTGGATATGGTACTAAGGACAAGCCTATGACGATGAATAAGATAAAGCCATGTCCTGTGTAAAGGCAATCGCTGGATGAATAAAATGTAGAATAGATGGATGCCAAGACAAGCAACATAAACTGCCACATTTTCAAAGCTTGGAGGAAAATATTACAGGCATAAAAGTTGGGACTTGATTCTGTGCGACAGCTGACATCTCTTTCTGTAGGGATGATAGGCATCCCCTGTCTGGTTTTCTGGTGCTACCAGGACATGCTAGGGTCTCGGGTTCCTCATTTCTCTCTTGTAGGGGGAATAAGCTTCCTTCTGTATCTGTGAGACCATCTCTGTGTGTGTACGCATAGCAGACGCATGAACGACTGTCAGGACATTCTCGAAGGTACAGAGCTAGAGTTGACAGCATGCTGTTCTGCTGAATGTCACCCACAGTCACGGCTTTCTTTGAACCACATTCCTTCCCCCCACACACACACTCCTGTTACTGCTCCCCCAGAGAGCCATGCTGGCACCTTTTCTTCCCTTACAGTCTCACTGCTGCTACAATCCATCATTACAAAGAGAGGCCTTACAAACGGCACTCAGGGGAAATGCTCTTTCCTTTCCATTTCTCTCTCCGAAAGAGCAACTTCTGATGGGCAAGGGACAAATGGCATTTAGGTTAAAGGAATATAAATAACAAGAGAGAGTATATCTGCTTCTTCCTCCTTTAAGATGGGGAGCCCGCAAAACACCCTTGTTTTTTGAGCCGTGGTTTGTTTTGTTTTTGAACGCTGCCACCCTTTTGGCCAGCACTGGCCATAATGCTGTATAGCTAGTAATCAAGCCAGAGGCATTTTAGTGAGAGCAATGGAAGAGGAAGGAGGGCTGAGACAGGCCCTTTGGTGACCGAAAATCACAAGCTCATAAATACAAACTTGCAAGGCTAGTCCTGTGGTTAGCTAGTACTTTAAATTTGTGGCTCCCCTGACTATACGGGGTTGACAGGGGAGCGATTGACTTTTTCTCAGACACGACAGCAGTGCTCAAAATTATGACTATAGAAGAAAGAACCAGAATTTCCAGGGCAACCAAAAAGCCCAGCAGAGCTGGGTTAGAGAGAGAAAAGGAGAGAAGCGTGGCTGCCTCCTTTTGTGTTTTCATTTTGCCGGGTCTGCCGCGGGCTGCTAACTACAGTTCAGGTCAGCAGTTCAAACCCACCATCTGCTCTGCAGGAGACAGAGAAGGCATCCAAGACTGACAATCTCGGACAGTCAAAGGGTCAGTTCTCCTCCGTCCCCCAGGTTCCACGAGTCGGAATCGACTGGACAGCAGTGCGTTTGGTTTCAGGTGTCTTTATTCCCTGAATCAAATAGCATATGCACGGAGCCCACAGAATGGCCACAGCCTCCACACGCTGTGAGCTGCCACCGAGTCACCCCAGCTCCTGGGGACCCCACGTGCAACAGAACAAAGTGCTGCCTGGGTCTGTCGCACGCCGAGATCAGTTGTGGAGTGGACTGTGGTGATCCAAGGGATCCACTGTCTGGTTTTCAGAACTAGACTCCCAGGCCTTCCTTCTTGGGCCGTTGCTTTCTGCTCAGCCACACAGCCGCACACAGGCCTCCATTGACAGATGGGGACTATACAGCAGCGGGTCTCAACCTGTGGCTCGAGACCCCATTGGGAGCCAAACGACCATTTCACAGGGGTCACTCGGTTCATCACAGTAGCAAAATGACAGTGATGAAGTAGCAACGAAAATAATTTTCTGGTTGGGGAACTGTATGAAAGGGGCACAGCATTAGGTTGAGAACCACTGGTATACAGGAAGGAGCCCTAGCTGGGAGTCACACCTGGGTCACCTGCATGGAAGGCGAGAATTCTACCTCGGACCCACCACTCTCCCCGATCGCCCACTTCATGGGTCTCAAGAGACTATGTAGCTGATGCTTAGTGCTCTCCCTGCCGCGATCCTGATTCCAACTCACAACGACCCTACAGGAGCCCCTGTCGGGCAGGTGAGAACTGTTCCTGTGGGTCTCTGAGGCTGGAACACTTTCCCAGAGCAGAGAACCCCATCTTCCTCCGGAGAGTTTCAATCTACTCACCTTGTGGTCAGCAGCCCAAAATGTAACCCACGATGCCACCAGGGCTCCTATCGCTTATTGCTCCTCACACCTTAATGACTTCACTGCTAGGGCTGAGAGCAGATGCTACGTTTTGTTTAAAACTGGGGTTCCTCGAGTTCACCCACTCTCATTCACCCCACCCCACCCCCCTCAGCCAAGCCAAGTCCCTAACTCATAAGCTAGCCAAGGCCTTGCAAGCTCTCCAGGGATGGGTGGTGCCATCCCTATATCACCACAGCTGCAGTTGCAGTGGTACAGCCCAGGGCTTGTTGACTTTCCGGCTCTTCAGTTTTGAAGGCAACCCTGATGCCTCCTTTTCCCATTTCCCACCAAGCTCAAAGGGGCTGCATCTGCGCGGCTTCGGTCAGCTCACGCACCCTCTGTGGTTTTCCGAGAGTCAACAATATTATTTCTCCCCGACACAGAAAAAACTTTTGCCCGTGTCATGTTCATGTTCTCTCTCTCTCTCTCTCTCTCTCTCTCTCTCTCTCTCTCTCTCTCTCTCAACACTTTTCAATGTGATCTGACAGCTTGAGTTCAGAAGGAAGCTTCACAATTAGAAGGAGTTGGAGCCACAGCATCTGTGCTCACAGCCCCCCTGAGCTGCTCTAATTAGGATTCCCTCTTTCCCCGTCTTTTGCTCAGGAGAGGACAAGGGGGCTTTTTAATTGAGGCTATTAGGAGTTCTCTTTACACAGTGACACCCTCCGCTAAGGGAAGACTCCGCCAAAGCCAGGCCCACTCTGCAATTACTCCTCGCAATGCTGAGGAATAATGGTATCTTGTCTCATTTAAAACTAAATCTGAGGCTTATTCCTTATTGCTTTCTCGGCTCTGCCTACTCACATGAATTTCTTCTTGCCAATTAAACACACTTTCCATTATTTAAGGAGCTAGTTTTGATCGTAACTGTCCCCTGATAATAAGACAAAAGAAACTGGATTTCACTTGCCCACAGAGCCTTTCTTCCAGATACAGAGCTCATTTAAATAAGCTCCTGTCTCCGCATCCTGAGGGGACTTCTGGGGCGGAACTGTGAAGCTCAGGAAGTTCCTAAGCCATGTTCTCTCTGCTTGCCCCAGCCACCCACCTAGGAGGACCTGCAAGTTCAACGCTCTCTGCTTCTCAGAGTTGCTCCCTCTTAAGAGGAATGATGTGGAGTCGCATTTATGAGTTTTCCCAAGAAAAGAAATTAAATATTTAGGTGAAAAGCAAGCTGGCTCAAAGGATCATCAAGGAATAGGGGCCATTGACACTTAGGCCTGGATAAACAAGCCATGAAGAGGTTTTCCATATCAAATTTTGTTCCTCTAAAATTACAGGTTCTTCCTAAGATCAGTGGCTTCTCCACTGCCATCAAAGTCATTACGCCATCTCATGTAACGCATGTACTTCCTCCTCTTTATTTTTACCCATCTGTCCTATATTTAATGTTCTTCACCAACACCATGGCTCGAAGGCTTCAATTCTTCTGCAGTCATCCTCTCATTATTGCATATCTATATGAGTTGACGGAACATACCCTGGCTTGGGTCAAGTGCACTTTAATTTTCAAAGTGACAATCTTTGCTTCTTAACCCTTCAAAGAGATCTTTTGCAGCAGATTTGACCAATGAAGCACAATGTTTATTTATTGACCGCAGCCTTGATGGGTGTTGATTGTGGATTCCAGCAAATTACATCCTTAACAACTTCAGTGTTTCTGGTTGACCATATCGTCTATTGATGGTTGGGAGGATGTTTGTCTCCTTTCCGTGAAATCCACCCTGGAAGCTGTAGTCTTTGATCTTCATCAGTAAGTGCTTCAAGTCCTTTTAGCTTTCAGCAGCGAGGCTGTGGCATCGACATAGCCTAGCTTTTTAATAAGCGTCCTCCAATCTGGACGCCATGTTCTTCACGTAGTCCAGGGTCTCAGATGGTTTACACAGTGTACAGGTTAAATGCATATGGTAAAAGTATACCCCGCCGATACATACCTTTCCTGGTGTTGAACCATGCAACAGCCCCCACCCCCACCCCCGGGTTCCATTTGAATGGCTGCCTCTGTGTAAAAAGGATCCGCGTGAATACTTATAAGTGTTTCCGAATACACATTCTTTGCAAGGTTATCAATAATTCACTGTGATCCACAATGCCTCTGCATAGTCAGGAAAAAAACATAGGTAAATATATTTCTGGGATTCTCTGCTTTTAGCCAAGATTCATCTGATATCAATGATAACACTCATTCCATATTCTTTTCTTAATCCAATGTGCATTTCCAGCAGTTCCTGGTTGGTGTACTATTGTCACTGTGTTTTGTTTTTTTAATTATCTTCAGCAAAACTTTTACTTGTATGTGATAGCCATATTGTTAGATAATTTCTGCATTCTTGGGTTCACTTTTATTTGGAGTGGGAAAAAACATAGATCTCTTCCAATTAGTTGGCCAGGTAGCTATCTTTAGAGTGTCTTGACATAGATGCATGAATGCTTGCAGGATTACATCCATTTCTTGGAACATCTCAATTGGTACACCTGGAGCCTGCTTTTGCATCTGTGCCTTCGAGTGCAGCTTTGATGTCTTCCTTCGATACTTTTAGTTCTTCATCAGATGCTACCTCCTGAAATGATTGATCATCAACCAGTTCTTTTTTGGTACCGTGACTCTGTGCATTCTTTCCATCTCTTTTCAATCTTCCCGCATTGTTTAATATTTTGCCACTGGAATCCTTCAATGTTGCAACTCCTGGCTTGAATTTTTCTTTGGTTAATTCAGCTTGTTGTTGTAGGTGTCTCAGGTGCCATCAAGTCATTTCTGAGCCATAGCAACCTATGCACAATCCTGCACTGCCCAATCCTGTGCCATCCTCAATTGCTCCTATGTCTGAGCCCACTGTTGCAATCACTGTATCAATCCATCTCATTGAAGTTCTTCCTCTTTTTTGCTGCCCCTCCACTTTACCAAACATGATGTCCTTCTCCAGGGACTGGTCTCTCCTGACAATATGTCTGAAGTATATAAGACAAAGTCTCACCATCCTTGCCTCTAAGGATCACTCTGGCCTTACTTCTTTTAGCTTAGGAACTGCCAAACCTGTCCAGGTCTTGGCACATTTCATTATAATACTTTGTCTTCTCAAGTTGTCCTTGAAATTTTCTACTCAGCTGTTTTACTTTATCATTTCTTCCACTTGTGTCAGTTACTCTACATTCAAGAGAAATTTCAGCGTCCATTTTGACATCCATTTTGGATTTTGTTTCCTTTCTACCTTTTTAATGCCTCTTTGCTTTCTTCATGTATGATATCCTTCATGTCACCTCACAGTTCACTGGATCTTTTGTCATTACTGCATCAAATCTCGTCTTGAGATGATCTCTAAATCCAGGTGGGATCTAGTCAACATCGAACTTTAGACCCTCTTGACTTGTTTTCGCTTTCTTCAGCTTCTACTTGAACTTGACTCCACATGTGGTAAACCTCATCAATTTCTCCATCCTGGGCATTAGTGGTTGCTGCATAAATTTGAATACTCGTCATGATCATTAGTCTTTCTTGTTGGCATACTTACACTGCCCTTCCCTGAAATTGCTGGACTTCAGGAGAGATCCTGAAGTGTTCTTCTGATGATGAGTAAGACAGCATTCCTCTTAAATTTGTCATTCCCAGCATAATTATAATATGATTTTCTGAATCAAAATGGTTGACACCAATCTATTTCTATTTCATTTTTGATGATTTCCAATTCGCTGAGATTCATAGTATATTCCATCTTCTAATTATTGATAGATGTTTGCAGCTGTTTCCTCTCATTTTGTGTTGTGCCCTTCCCCAGTCTGAGTCTGAATGTCTTCCAACCAGAGGGGCTAATCTTCCAAACCTAGGTCAGACAATGTCCCTATATTCATAAGGTTTCCACTGCCCTGTTTTTGCTAAAGTAGATCACCAGGTCCTTCTTCCTAGTCTGTCTTAATCAAGAAGCTCTACTGAAACCTGTCCACTATGGATGATCCTGCTGGCACTGGAAATACCTATGGCATTATGGCAGGCAACTAAAAGTATTTCCACATTGCAGGCATTTATTTATTTATTTATAATAATATGAAAGGCCCTGGGCCTTGATCTGTCATTTTAATGGCTGTACAACATTTTTTTTGGACAAAATATGTAAACTATTCCAGGGCTTTATTTTTATTCTTTGTTTTTATCTATAAAATTAAAACAATAGTATATACCTAGCTTACTTTAAGAATCTAGTGGAAAGCTTATGAAAGTACTTTGAAAATATTTATTCCACTAATATATAATATTAATGATGTTATTAACCAGTGTCTTAAGAATCTTATATACTAACATATATATGACAAGCCTTGATAGGAAACTACTCTCAGAAATATCTGCACCCTAAGCAAATGTGGTGAAGAAAGCTGATGGTGCCCAGCTATCTAAAGCTATACTGTCTGGGGTCTTAAAGGCTTGGATTTAAACAAGCAGTCATCTAGCAAGGAAGCAACAAAGCCCACATGGAAGAAGCACCAGCCTATGTGATCATGAGGTGTCGACGGGAAGAGGCATCACAAGTTCAAAACACATGCATCCAATCGATACAAAGGGGCATGGATGTAGTGGCGACCCAGAGTCTACCAACAAGACAATAGGACAGTCCCTCTTAGTAGGGCCTCAGGGACTGGAGGATAAATCCAGGGTGCAGTGTGGCAATGATGAACCACATAACTATCCTCTAGTTCTTTCAGATTTCCTCCCCTTACTATTATGGTCCATACATGATATACCTCTTTGGTCATGTTAGACTGGTGTATATTCATTTGGACATTTAAGATCACTTGGTACATGGTAGTCAAGACCCCCTCAGAGACACTGACAGGAATTAGTGGTTCCTGGAGGGTACAGGAAGGAGGGGGGGAGTTGACAACACTGATGATTGTATCGCCCCCACCCAATGAAAAGGGAAGAGATATATTGGAATGAGTAAGATATATCAATAAAAATACTATACTAGAAAAAAATTAAATTAAAAAGAGCATATCTGCAACAAATACTTAACCAAAAGAATTATCGGCACCTTAGCATTGGTCCCTCGAGATATGGGGGAAAGAAGAGTGCTGAAAATGAAGAGACACGTGGAAACAATTAGCCCAGTAGATGACCAGACCACAAAACATCAGTCTCATGAGGACCTAATGTCGGGGGTTTAAATGGAGAGAAAATGTTTTGAGAAATGATGTACAAATACGCTTTACACAATTGATGTGTGTATGGATTGGGATAACAGTTGTATGAACCCCTAATAAAATGTTTAAATAAAAAATAAAAAAAAAGTTGGAAACAGAAAAAACAAAAACAAAAACATCAGTCTCCACAACCTGGAGACGCGAAGAAATAGACGGTGCCTGACTACCACTGCCAACTGCTCTGAAAACGGTCACATTCGAGCAGTGGTTCTCAACCTTCCTAATGCCGTGACCCTTTCAGACAGTTCCTCATGTGGTGGTGACTCCCCAACCATACAACTATTTTCATTGCTACATCATAACTGTAATTTTGCTACTGCTATGAATCGGGTGACCCCTGCAAAAGGGTCATTTGACCCCCAAAGGGGTCGCAACCCACAGGTTGAGAACCGCTGCACTAGATGGTCCTGGATGGAGTGGAAGAAAATGTAGATCAGAACCTAAAAGCATAAAAGAAACCAGGTTTTCCCTTTTCCTTGGTAAGATGGTAGATGACTTGACTACTCACATCATGCAATGTTTGCATCAGCATCTAGTCATTCCACTGCTTGGGTTTATCTCCATGAAAGAGATATATAATGAAAAAGAACTATTGCAAAGGAAATCGGACCTTCTTGGTGACACCAACATGGTAAACTTCGTCATGGATGTATACGAAACCTTTATTCCAATGATATCCACCATGCTTTGCAAGAAATAAGAGCCACAGTTGCTGCACAACTAAAGAAACTCCAGACGTACACAGAACCAATGGTGAAGATGTTTGAAGACCCAGAAACTACCAGGCAAATGCAGTCAACCAGGAATGGCCAGAACTTGATTGACTAGCTGGCGGATAAGCCTGGCTTCAGACCGGAGTAGTCGGACACTCTCGACAGATGTGCAAACTTCCGGTGTGAAGGTGGGGATTACTCAGGAGCAGCAGAATGTATAGATTAGAGTGCTGTTCCAGCAACGGACAGGAGTGCTCTGAGTTCCCTTTCAGGACAACTGGGCTCTGAAATCTTAATGCAGAATCGAAATGGAGCCATGGAAAACTTGACAATGCTGAAAGGGACCATCAATAATCATTCTGTAAGTTCTCGGTTCCAGTCTCTTTGGCAGCAGACGTGGCTCACACACTGGTGTGTTTGTTTTCTTCAACCATCCCAAAGGCCGAGCTAACATAATTGATCTCTTCCTTTACCAACCACTGTACCTTATCGCAATTCAGACAATGTGCCCACATAGTCTCCACAACTTGACTACTGCAGTCACAATGACCAAAGAAGTTCGAAAGCACCGACAGGTGCTAAAAGACCTCGTCAAAGTTATTCAGCAGGAATCTTACACATACAAGGACCCAATTACAGAGCTTGTTGAATGCGTGCCTATAAACTTGGCTTTGATGCGGCACAGAAAAGGCTGAGGCACTGTGCATCGTGCTTGTGAATGACTTCTTCCTGGTGGCTTACCTTGAGGACTTCATTGAAGACGCCCGTCTCTTCGTAGTTGAGACTTTTCGTCATGGCCATCAGTGTATCAGCATTGCTATGCTGGCAGATAAATTGAACATGATCCCAGAAGTAGCTAAAAGGTGGATTGTGAATTTGATTAGAAATGCAAGACTGAAAGCCAAGATTGATCCTAGGTTAGGTCACGTGGTGATGGGGAGCAACAGCGCCTCACCCTATCAGCAAGTGACTGAAAAGACCAAGAGTCTTTCCTCTAGAAGCCAGATGTTGGCCATGAACATTGAGAAGAAACACAATCAGAGTAGTAGATCAGAGGCTCCTAACTGGGTAACTCTGGACTCTGGCTTCTGCGGAAGAGCTGTTTTCAGAAGCTTGAGAAAACTGAAGATGCAACGACAAAACCGTTATGTAAAGTGGGGCCTATATTTTAGAAACAACAAAGTTACATTTTGGAGAATTTGAATAAAATTGTCTGTGTCTCATTTTTAAAAGCACAGAAAAGAAACCAAGCTGATGAGTCATATAGAGACACCGGTGGAACTCTCACGACGGTGACTCCTTCGTCACCTTCCAGTCTGGACTGAATTCACCCCCTACTAGAATGAACAACTGTTTAAGATCAACGTCTGCTCATGACAGAGGATTCGGAAAGAAAAAGAACAGACGCAAGAAACACTGAGAAGAAGTGGACTCAGAGACGGTGCATTGAAGGGATGGAACGGAATGAGCTGAACAAAACATGCATAAAGTATGGAATGTAAAACAGGTGATTTACTCTGTAAACCTTCCTTAAAGCACAATAAAAAAGTGTTTTTCAAAAGAACGGCATCCTTCCCCCAAACCTAGACAACCGCTTATTCTACCTACTGAAAAGACGAACACAGCATTGCCTGATAGAGAACATAAGAGCCTTGGGAAATAAAGCAACAAGCACAGTACTGCTCTGCTTGATTAAGAATAAACTGCGCATCCCACTCCACGTGAAATTTCTTTTATAGTTCAGTTCTGGCCTCAGCCTTGTTAACAGAGGACGACCCTTGGATCCCAGAGGGGGAAAGGACCACTGAGCTATGTAGCTTGCTCAACGTCACATGGCTAATAAGTGGTAGTGCAAGGATTAGCATGAAAGTCCATTTATCTCCCAAGACTATGATTTGTAGTTAGTTTGTTTCCTTTTTAATGTTTCCTCTGTGTTTCTCGTGATCATTCCTCCTTCCTTCCTAATCCTTGATCCTTAGCTAAATGCTGCATTTTTTATCTCAAATGGTTCATTACTCTGAGTAAGTGCATCCCAAGTGTTCCTTTCACCCTCGTGCAAGGGGACTTCAACAAATGAATGGAGAAAATTAACTATGTTTCAACTCCATTTTTCATGACCTCTGTGAAATCCCTTCATAGATTTGTCTCTGATTTGGCTGAAAATAGAGCCATGGGGGTGAGTTCATTTCCAGACCGGTAGAATGACTAACCACCACACGTCTGTCAGTTTGTCAAACAAAACTGTCCTAGACGACACACAGCCAGAATGCTCCTTTGAGGCAAAGATGGTGAAAGTTTGTCTCGTGCTCTTATACATGCTGTCCTTGGAGAAGGACATCATGCTCGGTGAAGTAGAGGGCCAGTGAACAAGAAGAAGGCTGTGGACATGATGGATGGACACAGTGGCTCTGCCATGGGCTCCAACATCAGAATCAGCGTGCGGATGGCGCAGGACCAGGCGGGGTCCTTTTGTGGTCCATGCTTCTTCGTGCCAGATGGGGAGACACCAATAGTTTCACCCTAGATGTCTGCTCATGAGCCCTTAAGATCCCAGTCAATAGGCAGCTAAGTAAGATGTAGAACATTGTCTTTGTGGACTATATGATGCCAGTTGACAATGGTGTTCCCTGAGACGATAGTCCTGAGTCCCAAGACCCTGTGATTCATTCCCACAAGGTGTTCGGTTATGTCAGAAACGTTTTCATAACTTTGCCCCTATAGCTGCTCCCATATTTGTGGATATATCTATCCTCTGCCAAACCTATGTATGTGGGGTGGGGGACGTAAATACCACTCTCTCTCCCATACCCATTCAGCATGCATGTCTACCTAAGCACCCCCTTGTAGATCACCATGACTGCAGGATTGTGTAGAGATCAGTATTTGCCTTTGTTGCCTTTAATCTCTGCACTCCTCCCAGTATCTTCCATTACTTCCATCACTTTTGCTGCCCTCCCTCTTATTATATGTTGCCTTCCCCTTCATCCCAAGCTATCCTTACAATGTTACATTTCAGAGACCAGTTACTCATATAGTGAGCTGTCAACAGACCTGGTATTCAGCCAGCATAGATACACATTAGTAGAGCTGAGCCGATCGTTTGCAGTCAATGTACAATCTATGAGATGGGTACATCCATTGTCCACCTTTTATCCCTACCTTGCCATCAGTCTACAGACACTCCTACAGTTATTAGAGATTGTCCTTAGCTACATTCATCACCTAGCACATCTGCTTCAGATCCCCAACTCTGAAATTCCTGATGAGCACTCCTGTTTTTCTACCTCGCTTCCACTTTACGGTCACTAAGTGTCCGCTTTGCTGCAAGTTTCTCAACCTCCAGTCCATCCTACTCACCTAGCCTGTCTTTTATTCCTAACCCACTTGTCTAGGTATTAAAAACACATGTGAAGGTCTTCGGATGCTGGAACTGTGTGCTGTGTGCATGGATCCTTGGAGTACCTAGAATTGCCACAGTGGTGTTGGCTGCCACCGAGCCAGCCCCTACACATGGCAACCTCATGCACAACAGCCCTGGACTGTGAGGCAGAGTGTTCTCGCAAGCTAAGTTTTCAGAAGCACAGTGCTAGGCTTGTCTTCCTAGCTTTCGTGTACACATTCCACCAACACCTGTTTGTTGTCACAGCAACACACAAGCCAACCGTGGTAGCTGAGAGGAGGTGCTCAAGGGATGTTGAGCTAAACAAAAGAAGGGTTGCACTCATGAATGAAGTTAGTGTGTGCTTGAAACTAAAGAGATGATTCTTAAAGGTGGATTCAGCTCTAAACACTTACTCGGCCACGTCGGCGCTCTCTGATGGCCTTCAAGTATTTTATGAGTAATGAGGATGATCAGTAATACAAAAACCAGCAGGACTAAAACATACCAAGCGATCTTCATGGAGCACGTGAAATCTGTAAAGAAAAAAATAAAACATTAAAAATACAATGAAATGGTGCTACAGCAAAGAGGCAATGTGGTGAAGTATTAAAAAATAAATTTGAAAAGAATAGAGTGAAACATTATCAATGCACCCATTCTAACTCCCAGTGACCCTCCACGGGGTTTCCAAGACTAAATCTTTCTGGGGGCAGACAGCCTCATCTTTCCCCCACGAACCAGCTGCCTAGTCCACAGCACCACCCAGACTCCTTGAGGCGAAATATAGCTACAAAATGTGGGTACTAGAGCATCATCTGCCCTTAGCTCTTAAATTCTTCCCTGGTGTATAAAATAAGGAAAGTTGACCAAGTTCCAGAATTCTAGCATCAATTTCAATTATAGGTTATGTTGGCAGCAATTCCATCGTCATTGTTATTCCTAGGTCAAGACAGCCTAGCCAAATCCAAGCATCAGAGCCATTTGTAACCGATCATTCTGGCCCTGGATAACCGGATCAAAACTATGCCCCTCAAGCCAACAAGACTGGAGTGGGTTACTGAGAATAGAGAAGAAAGAGAGACAGGCAATCGAAGGAGGGGACTAGGCTGATGCATGGAAGTGGCCAGGGAATTTCAGAACCCTCTCCAGCAGGTCAATTCAGGATTCCGTGACTTGCACTCCAGTAATCAGATCAAGTGTATTAAGCAAACAGCAACCCTAGCTTGTTGTTGTTAAGTGCCATTGAATCAGTTCTAACTCATAGCAAGCTTATATACAATACAACCAAACACTTCCTGTCCTGTGCCATCCTCACGTTGTTGCACCCATTGTGTCAATCTCTCTCTTGGAAAGTCATCCTCTTTCCCACTCTTCCTCTACTTTACCAGAGCCCTGGTGGTGCAATGAGTTAAGCTAACCACAAAGTTCAAATACACCAGCAACTCCACAGTTTCAAGAAAGACGAGGCTATTTGCTCCCTGTGGTAGTTACATAGTCTCCTGTCAACTTGTGAAGGGGTAGTTTAGTCTGCCAAGCAGGTCGCAGCTTGATGACCTCATTTGGAGGCACGATGGAGATAAATAGCTCACTGGAGGTCGGACACACAGTGACTCTCCCTGTGGGACATTCCTGTTGACACAGCAGATGGAGCTACATGATGCAGCCAGAGTCTTGGAACTGGAGAAGCCAAGTAGAGAGCCACGCCAGCGCTGAGATGCTTCCACTGCCACTGGATCCATAAGACTTTCCACCCACTGGCCTGTGATCTTCCTGCACTCAGCTTCATTACATGTGTTGCGTGAGTCTGAAGAGGAATTTATAGACTGCTGTCGGACAGATGGGCTAATATCGGACTTAAGGACTTGACCTGGACTGGGTTGGGATGTTTTCTCGATGTTCAATTGCTCTTGTATATAAACCTCTTTCTTATATACATACGGGTGTTTATAAATTTGTTCCACCCAGAATAACACACTCCCGTAAAGGGAATCCTAAGGAGCAGTTCTATTCTGTCTCACAGAGTTGCTGTAAGTCAGAAACGACTCGTGGGCAGTGGGTCCTACTTTAGCAAGCATGTTACTCTTCCTCGAGGACTAGTCCCCCATGACACTATGTGCAGAATACATGAGACAGGGTCTTACCATCCTCACTTCTAAGAAGCATTCTAGCTGTACAAGACAGATTTGTTCTTTTATTCTGGCAGTCCATGGTCTAGTTAATGTTCTTCCCCAACACCATAATTCAAAGAGGTCCATTCTTTTCAGTCTCCCTTTTCATTGTCCGGCTTCCTTATACCTATGGGGCCATTGAAAATAACATGACTTGGGTCAGATGCACCTTCGTCCTCAAAGCAACATCTTTACATCGTGACTTTTGAACACTTTAAAGAAGAATTTTGCAGATATCCCCTGTGCAAGATATTGTTTGTTTCTTGACTGAAGCCAAGAAATGGGTGTTGATTGTGGAGCCAAGTGAATTGTAATCCTGGACCACTTCCATCATAGATATGCACCAGGAGGGCTGACAATAGCTGGCAGTCAGTGTACAATCTGTTAGGTGGACACCTGTGTTGTCCACCTTGTATCACTACCTTGCCCTCAATCTACAAACACTCCTGCCACTATGAAAGATTGTCTTTAGCGCATTCATCACCTAGAAGGTCAGCTCTCAATCTGTGGGTTGCAACCCCTTTGGGGCTCGAATGACCTTTTCACAGGGGTCTTCCGATTCATAACAGTAGCAAAATAATTGTTATAAAGTAGCAAGGAAAATAATTTTATGGTTGGAGGTCACCACCACATGAAGAGTTGTATTAAAGGGTCGTGGCCTTAGGAAGGTTGAGGACCACTGACCTAGAATAATGCCTGCCTAAGATTCCGGACTCGGAAATCCCTTATCACCACTCTGGCTTTGCTACCGCTCTTCCTGTCTTCCTACCTCTCATCCTCAGGATGTTGCTTCTTGGTCCAAGGGTGAGAATTGTTGTTTCCTTTGTGTTAAGCTGTAAACCGTACCAAAGTCTGTAGCCTTGGATTTATATCAGGCAATGCTTTTAGCCCTCTTCACTCTCAGCAAACAGGGTTGTCCCGCGTGCATCTCACAGGTTGTTCACGAGTCTTCCTCCCACCCTGACGGTGTTTCCTTCGTTCGGGGATCCATCTTCTCAGATGATTTGCTCGCACACAGATTGAATAAGTATGGGGAAAGGATATACCCCTGATGCACAACTTTCTCGATTTAAAACCATACAGTACCCCCTTATCTGTTGGAACAACTGACTGGCTCTTGGTCCATGTATGGGTTCAGCATAAATAAAATAAAGTGATTGCAATTCCTATTCTTGGCAATGTTACCTGTAATTTGCTGTGGTCCACACAGTCCAATGTTTTCACACAGTCAATAAAACACAAGTAAGCATCTTCCTGGGATTCTTTCCTTTCATCCAAGATTCATCTGACATCACCAATGATATCCCTCATCCTACGTCCTCTTCTAAACCAGGATTGAATTTCTTTTAGTTCCTTGTCCATGCACTGCTACCGCCATTTAAAAATGATCTTCAGCAAAATGTTACTTAAGGAATCCTAATGGCATTGTCTGCATCCTATAATTTCTACATTCTGCTGGATCCCCTTTCTTCGGAATGGGCACAAATATAGAACTCTTCCAGTCAGTCAGTCAGCCGGGTCACTTTTCCCCAGAGTTCTTGGCATAGATGAGTCTGCAAGTCAAGCATTGTAACCACTTGTTCAAATACCTCGCTTGGTGTTCCATCCACTCCTTGTGCTTCACCAATGCTAGTGGTGCAGCTTGGACATCTTCCTTCAAGACCATCAGTTCTCGGTCATATGCTACCTCCCGAGATAACGGAACATCAGCCAATCCTTTCTGCACAGTGATTCTCTATATTCCTTCTGTCTCCTTTTGATTTTTCTTGCATTGTTCAATATTTTGCCCATCAAATTATTTAATGCTCCAACCCAAGACTTGAATTTTTTTCCCCCTTCAGTCCTATCAGGTTGACAAATGCCACACAGTCTCCTCTTTTGGTTTTCTAAATACAAGTCTTGGCATGTTTCATTATGAAATTTTACATCCCCTTCTCAAGCCACCCTTTGACAGTTTCTGCTCCGCAGTTTTGCTTTATCATTCGCTTCACTGCTCCACATGGAAGAGCAAGGTTCAGACACCTATGTTGGCCTTGTCTTAAGGTCTCCCCTGGCTTCTTGTTTCAGAAGTAGACCAAAATAGAGAAAGTTATCTCTCCTCATCTCTCTTAGCCTGGAAGTTCTGCTGAAACCTGTTCACTATGGAAACCTTACAGATATTTGAAATACCAGTGGCCTAGCTTCCAGGTTCACAGCAACAAGCAAGCCACCACAGTAGGACAAACTGACAGATGAGCGGTGATGGCACCGCAGCAAAGATGAGGATGGCATGGGAGCTGGCACTGCTGAATGTAGGGTCGCTAGGAGCTAGAAGCAACTCAACAGCACCTAACAACCGAGAGGTTTAATAAGGACATAGGGGAGAGACTTATCCATTCAGAAGGCAGTGAGGCACGGGCAGATGTTCAGCATCCAGCAATAGCTGAGCACATTCCCCAGCCTCACTTGTCCCACAGAGATATTCTGGGTACCAGACCTGGACGACAGTGACTTAGACAAGGATGGCCTCATGAAGTCCAAGATACAGCTGTATGACTGTTAACAGTCACCCTACATAGCTCTTTTTGGCACAAGAAAAACATAACTATACCTAGCCAACATAGCATGATAGATAACTTGCTTATGCCCTTAGGGAACTATCTCCATGGGGCTTATGATCAGGGTGCTTCCTACACAGAAATGAATGTATTGGGCAGATGCACACAAAATCCCCATTCAACATTTGTTTAACGAAAAAGCTGGATGGAGGAAGGGTAGGGGTTGACCAGAATGGCAGCACCCAGTCTCCCCAGTATCATATTCCACACTATTTTTCTCTGGCCCAAACTTGCGTTCTTCACTTCGCAAAATACAGCATGAAATTCACTGCCTTAAAAGATTGGCAGTCTCAGCAAAATGATCCCATTGGCTGTTGATCAAGCTATGACGAGCAGACCTTCGGCTAACTTTAGTTTGCGGTCGCACACTATGTTAAACTTGGACCCGACTGGTCAGCGCACGCAGCAGGCTTCAGGACAGCCCGAGTTCCAGTGTGTGTCCCCAGCCTCCCAAACTGCTTCCCCCCTTCCTCAGCCAACGGCGCCCAGACCACCCCCTGTCCTGCAGTCATCCGTAGGAGCTAGGGGAAAGAGGCAGAAATCTGAGGGGAAAATCTAAAGGGATGATTTAAATTATTGTTTCAGAATAAAGCTACTATATTGAGCTAAATTTCATTTTACCTACCTGGTGGATAGAGCTTTTAAGAGAGCTCAAGCTAGTCTTTGCACAGCAGAGTACAATAAAATGCGAATAAGTTTTAACCTTCGACATATGGTAAGAGGAGCCCTGGTGGCCCAGCGGTTAAGTGCCGGGCTGCTCACAGAAAGGATGATAGCTGGAAGGCCCCACTGCTCCACAAGAGACAGACGGGGCAGTCTACATTCACCAAGACCACCGTCTCGGAATCCCTCTGTCCCAGAAGACACAGCGTTGGAAGGGACTCACTGGGAATGGGTACACATGCCAAAACAGGCTTATTTTCCCCCAGAACACAAAAGTATCTATTGCTGTACCACAGTTATGTTTGAATTATCAGTCAAACAGCTGATAATTATCATCTTACATAGGACCCCTGGTGGCATAGTGGTTACATTTGGGGTGCCAACTGAAAGGTCAGCAGTTCAAAGCCATCAGCAGCTCTGACAGAGCAAGACCAGGCTTTCTCTTCTGGAAACCCACAATTTCAGTGCTACCCAGACTAGGGTCCCTGTGAGTCGGAATTGACTCAATGGGCGTGAGATCATTGCACTGTGAATAAAACCTAGAATTGATGCATCTTTATCAACACAAAAATAAACTCAATCTTATTTACAGACATACTTGTTTTTCCTGGATATTTTAGAAAAGTATTAAAAATTAGTTAGATGAACCCCTACCTTCCTTTAAACCAGAGAAAATAGATCTTCTCTGTTCAGGTCTTCTCAGATCCCCAACCCCAACCCCAGATACACATACACTCACAAATACACATCGAAATATCCCTAACCTGTCTCCAGGCAAAATAACTCACAAGGGAGATTTCTTTGAAGTCTTACATTTTCTCTTAGAAGTGCAAATGCACTACATATTTATGTTTACTTGCAAATAAAAGTGATGTTTTAAAATGAATTCCCATCAGAAGAATTAAAGCTCCAGAGCAACATTCCAAAGCAGTCGAAAGGCTTCCATGCGGCTGGCCCATCCAGCAGCACAGCAAGCGCTGGATCAATGACCGGTGTTTGTGTGGCATCTCCCTCCCCCACACTGTTTCCAGACATCTGCCTCTGAGTCCCCGGTGCCTGGAACAGTGCCTGGCGTACAGCAGGAACTCATGACATGCTTATTGTCATAAGATGCTCTCCTGGAGTGGGATTTACAGATGGAAAGATAGTAAACTGCTTAGTCAATGGAAGCAATAAATTGTAATAAGTCAGAAGAGAGTGATTAGGAAGTTAATCAGCCTTAAACAGAATTACTATATATATCTATATAGATGATATATAGATATGTGTCTGCTTCAATCCCCCTCTCCCTTCCTATATACATTATAGCTATGTAAATCTATAGAGATATTAAAATTATATTTATATGTTATGTGTAGATATATATAGCTTTATATTATATATAGTGTATATATAATATTATATATGCATTATGTATTATGTATATTGAATCATACATAATATATCTTTTGGACTCTAACCTTTCCCTTTATATATAGCATATATAATATTACATATGTATTATGTATATTGAATCATATATAATATATCTTTTGGACGCTAACCTTTCCCTTAGGGTCATTCAAAAACCTCAAGTACCTTATCTCCAGGAAACTACATAAAAAATCCCACTTCGTCCAGGCCTGTTTCTCAGTTGTAAGGATTAAAAGTCAAACCACGGCGACGGAGTTGGTTACACCTCACGAGGACCCTACAGAACAGGGCAGAACTGCCTTATAGAGCTTCTAAGGCTGTAAGTGATATGGACGCAAACCACCACATCCTTCTTCCAAGGAGCAGCTGGTGCATCGGAAGCACCTACTTCTGGTTAGCACATGCCACCACCTCTCTTTAGCTGGAAAGGATCCGCCGGAAACAAAGCCTACTGCCATCACGTCTATTCTAGCTCATAGCAACCCAAATGGGGTTTCTAAGATTGTAAATTTTTATGGGACCAGACAGACTCAGCTTCCTCCCACAAACGGCTGGTGGTTTTGAACTGCTGACCTTGAGGCGAGCAGCCTAATGCCTAACGCTCTAAGGGAGGCTTTATTAAACCAAAGTAAGATTTTAACGGTGTGTCACAATTTGTGTGGATATCTACATTTGCGATAAAATCGAATCCTTTCATGCTCGTGAAGCTCAGCCTGGTACCACTCACTTCAAGCGCAGCTAAAACGGTGTGTTGGGATTTACGCCGAAGCAGGTCTTTCCGGGGCTAGCCAAATCACATGCCATCATGGGTTTTCTGTCTCAACCACAGCTGGGTTGCATGGGAAGACCACTTTGAAAGATAAATAAGTAGATAAAAGGAGTAACACACTTTTAAGCTGGATTACTCCATCAACAGATATTTTTACCTCTTTGGCTTTCAGTGAAGGCAATGCAGTAGGACGCATGGCGTCCTCTATGTCTGCGCCCATCTCCTTCCCCTTCCCACAGATTCCCTGTAAAACTTACATTTTATATCCATGTCTAGGTGCAGAGAAACATGTATGTAGCTATGCAGGCCTCCCGCAGTTCTACAGGAATCGTTTATAGACTTTTCCTCGGTTGGCTCTTCCACTGTGGGCTTGGGCGTCCTCGTGTGCGGCTGTAGGTTACAGGTGGTGGTGTAGGCCTCCGCGTGGCCGACCACAGGCGCTACGGTGAAGTTCAAATGTTGATGCTGTAAACGAAAAGCACTAGCTTTCGAATGCATTGATCCTCTCATGACAAGAACTGGAAGGAGATTATAAGAGCATTATTTGCAAAATAGTAACAGGTACTAAGAAAGCACCATGCTCAAAACTAAACCTTACCCTTTCTCATCAAAGGAAGTTGTTGTTGTCATGGTTGATGTTAGGTGTCATCGAACTGGTTCTGACTCATGGCGACCTTCTGCACAGCAGAATGAAATCCCGCCCGGTCCAGCACCACTCTCCCAATGGCTCCGATTCCTGAGCCCACGGTTGCAGCCCCAGTGTCAACCCAACTCTCCCCCATTGCCCCTCTCGTTTACCAAACATAATGTCTTTCTCCAAGGACTCGTTTCTACTGACAGCATGTCCTAAGTTTCTAAGAGGAAATCTTGCCATCCTTGCCTCTCCGGAGCAGTCAGGCTGCACTTCTTCCGACACGGGTTTGTCTTTTTAGCAGGCCACGATACTTCCAGTATTCGTCTCCAGCACCACAATTCAAAGGCATGGTCTTCTTTATTCAATGGCCAACTTTCATTTGCATGATGAGGCAATGGAAAATGTCATGGCCTGGGTCAGGCACACCTTAGTCCTCAAAATTATATCCGTGCTTTTCAATACTCTAAAGAGATCTTATGCAGCAGATTCACCTAATGTCTTTTGATCTCTTGACTATTGCTTCCATGAGCACTGGCTGACTGTCAAGACAAAATCCTTGACAACTTTAACCTTTTCTTCATTTACCATGAGGTTACCTATTGGTCCAGGTGTGCGGGTTTTGATCTTCTTTATAGGGAGCTGTCATCCACACTGAGGCTGCAATCCTTGATCTTCATCAGAAAATGCTTCAAATCCTCCTCACTTTCAGCAGCAAAGTTATGTCATCTGCAGACCACAGAGAGTTGATAAACCTTCCTCCAATGCTGATGCCATATTCTTTTTCATATTAGCCAGCTTCTCGGATGATCTGCTCAGCATACAGATGGTGAGAGGCTACAACCCTGCTGCACACCTTTCCTGGTGTTAAACTATGCAATATTCCCTTGTTCTGTTCACACAACTGACTCTTGAGCCATGGGAAAGTTCCAAATGAGCACAATGAAGTCTTCTGGAATTCCTATTCTTCTCAGGGTTATTATGATCCACACAGTCAAATGCTTTGGCATAGTCAGTATACCACAAGTAAACATCTGTCTGGTAGTCTCTGCTTTCAGGCAAGATCCATCGGACATCAGGAATGATAACCCTTGTTCGATGACCTCTTCTGAATCTGACCTTGAATTTCTGGCAGCTCCCTGTTAATGGACTGCTACAACCACTGTTGGATGCTCTTCAGCAAAACTTTACTGGCATGCTATCAGTGATATTTTCCTATAGTTTGAGCATTCTGTTGGGTCACCTTTCTTTGGAATGGGTTCAAATATGGATCTCTTCCAGTCAGTTTGCCAAGTATCTCCCTTCCAAATTTCCCAGCATAGACAAATGAATGCTTCTAGTGCTTCATCAGCATGCTGAAACTTTTCAAATTGGTATTTCATCAATTTCTAGAACCTTGATTTTGACTAATGCTTCCAATGCAGCTCAAACTTCTTCCTTCAGCACTATTGGTTCTTGTTCATATACTACCTCCTGAAATGATGGAATGTCAACGATTTCTTTTTGGTACAGTGACTCTGTGTATTCTTTCCATCTTCTCGTGATGCATTCTTTAAAATATATTTTTATTATAAATACATCCTTTTATTGGGGGCTCTTACATCTCTTATAACAATCCATACATCAATTGTATCAAGCACATTTGTACATATTTGCCATCATCATTTTCAAAATATTTTCTTTCTGTTTGAACCCTTAGTATCAGCTCCTCTTTTTTTGCCTCCCTCTCCCTCTTGATGCTTTTTGCATCATTCAAATTTTGCCTGTAGAATCTTCCAAGATTGCAACTCGAGTCTTGAATTTGTTTCTTGAGTTCTTTCAGTGTAAGACATGCTGAGTGCGCTCTTCCCTTTAGTTTCTTGTAATTCTAGGTCTTTGCACATTGCATTATAATATTTGACTCGGTTTTTTCAAGCTGCCTTTTGAGATTTTCTACTCGGCTCTTTGACTTCCTCTTTCCTTTCATTTACTTTAGCTATTCTATGATTAAGGGCAATTTCAGAGTCGCTTCTTGTGGAGGAAAGGCCAGCCCCCCACAACTAATCGTGGGTTCGATAGGTGCAATTGTATGGTTGAAATATATATATAATAAAGTCATGGAGAGCATGATAGATAGACAAGAGATTGAAATAATGGAGTCAGACACATTTCATGGTAGCATGCTCACCTCAGCCCCGCTTGGTGGTCCACATAGAGATGGGAGATGGGAGGCCAGGAGAGAGGGGGAGGAGAAGGAGGACAAGAGAAATGGGACCAGGGGAGCAAGAATGGGGACAGGAAGGGGGAGCAGATGAGAGACCAAGGGGAATCTTTATTGCTAACCAAGGCTTATATATCTTTGGGGGGCATGCAAGTCCACTAATTACAGGTAAATACGTACGTCTCAGGAAGGGGTTGCACTATAGGCTATACAGTAATGAGAGGGGGACAATCTAGGGATATACACACAATAGGAAGGGGAGGGATTGGGGGCACACATGTGACAAGATGGGCAGGTTTGACCTGTTCTCTGGCTCACTATAGAAACCATTATCAGTAGGGTGTAAACCCCACCTGCAGGGACCAGACTATTGCTTGCAAGCCTTTAGGGAGAAGTAGCCCCTTGTCTTTAAAAGCAGGGAGGGGTGCCACCTGTAGTGGGCCCAGACAGTAGTCTGGCAACTGACTGCCTTCAGGGAGGTCACTTGACAGTCATTTACCTTTAGCTGCAAGCTGTGTCCTAAATCTAACATCTAATTGGGGGAGACACTTGGGAGAAATCTTTGTTTCCCACATCTTCTGACATCAACTGTGCTTTCTTTCCTGTCTTTTCACTGACCTTTGGCTTTCTTCATGAATGATGGTCTTGATGTCCTTCGCAGCTCACCAGGTCATTAGTGTTCAGTGTGTCACATCCGTTCTTGAGATGCTCTCGAAATTCGTGTGGGATAGACTCCAGGCCATATCTTGGCTCCCTTGGATTTGTTTCAATTTTCTTCGGCTGTATCCTGAACTACACATGAGTAATGACATCTGAGTAATGTCTGTTCCACAGTCAGCCCTAGGCTGGTGTTAGCTGCTGATACTGAGCATCTCCATCGTCTCTTCCCACAGATGTAGTCAGTTTGATTTCTGTGTGTCCCATCTAGAGACGTCCTTTCGTGTTGTTGGAGAAAGGTATTTACTATGAACAAGTCACTTGCTTTTCAAAATTCTCTTATGTGAGCTCCAGCTTCATTTCTATCACCAAGTCCCTATTTTCTAATGACTTCCTTTTTGTCTCCAACTTTTGCATTCCAATTGCCAATCCTTATCAATGTATCTTGATAGCATGTTTCAGCAATTTTTGACTGAAGTCACTGGTAGACTTCTTCTATTTCTTCCTCATTAGCTTTAGTGGTCGGTGCATCATTTTTCATTACAGTTGTATTGATTGAATGTCCTTGAAAGCAGATCCTGTCACTGACTGTACTTCATGATGGATTTTACAATGTCCTCTTTGACAATGCCACTCTATTTCTATTCCCGGAATAGTTAATGATAAGATTTTTCTGATTCAAAATGGCCAACACTAGTCCATTTCAGATCAGTAGTGTCTACGATATCAATCTTTATGTGTTCCATTTATGTCAGCGGTTCTCAACCTGTGGGTTGAGGCTCTTTGGGGGTCTAGTGAGCCTTTCCCAAGGGTCACCGATTCATAGCAGTAGCAAAATGACAGTGATGAAGTAACAATGAAAATAATTTACGGTTGGGGGGGTCACCACAACATGAGGAACTGTATGAAAGGGTTGTGCCATTGGGAAGGTCGAGAACCACTGAGGTATGTGTTCATTTTTGAACACTTCCAATTGTTCTCGATCCATTCTTCACACATCCACATTCTGAGCTGTGCAGCTGCTTCTCCTTGCCGTGGGTGGTGCCCCAGCAGCACATGAAAATTCCAAATGCTCCCCTCCCCCAGGCTTTACCCCACTCTTGTCAACATGGTCGACCCCACTCTGACAAAGCAGCTCCTCCTCAGTCACCTTTCAAGTGCTGTCTGATCTGAGGGGCCCATCCACCCACCCATCCTTCAGCAGTACCGCTGACAATGTCCGGCTTCCAGTCTTTAGGCCGTTAGGATCTGACAATGTTTCAAAGTTACGCATAAGACGTTCGACAGCTTCTTTCTCCGAAGTGGGGCGCCGAGTCCTTCTTTGCATGTTCTTAGTCTGGGAGCTCCTGTTCCCTTTGGATGACCCTGGCATTTGAAGTACCAGTGATATGGCTGCCAGCATCACATCCCCACACATAAGCCACCACAGGACGACAAACCCACAGGCAAGTGGTGGAAAATTAAGTTAGCTTCACTAAGAATAATGACCAGGGAAGTAACTTGGGTTTTTGTCTTTTTTTTTTTTTTAAGTTAAAGCCAGGGGATAATAGATTAACATAGGGCTGGAATAACCCAAAGATAATACATAGGCATCCTCTTGATGAGTTGTTGGACAGATTTAGGCTTCCAAAGGTTAAGACGTGCTATCTTAAAATTTGCCTCCTCTCTTCCTGCCCCCAGTAGATGGCTTTTAATGTTTTCCCGTTGACTCTGGAAGGATTTGTGACTTGGCTTGTAACCAAAGAATGCACAGAAAGTGACGCTGCATGACTATGTCAGAAAAGGCAAAGTCATTTCCACCCAGTCCATTGAACCCTTACAGGGGAGCTCGAGCCACGACGGCATCATTTACTAGGCCACCAGGTAAGCCGTCCATGCTGTGAGGAAGCTCAAGGTAACGCAGGTGGAAAGGGCACCTAGGAAAATTGATATGTGAGCACCTAGAAAAATAACTGCTACGCACATCCTGAACTCCTAACCCACTGAAAATAAGGGATCATAAAATAGTGCTATTGCTTTAGGGAGCGAGTTTTGGGTGACAGCCCTAGCAACGGTGACAACTTGTCAATGCAGTGCTTTCCTTTTTGAAGAAAGCAGAGAAGTATCACTCATGAGCCACCAAGCCTTAAAACACTTCCCAACTCCATAGCATCCTAGGGGATGTCCTGACTTCCAGCCTGGAATACTTAAAGTTCTACATAAGAACTCAGCTAAAGACAAGTGATACTTCATCCAAAGTCCATGCAAAGAAATCTTGTGCTCATTTTCAAACAATACGTGTCCATGTGGAATGATACCAGAAGCAACCTGGGGGGGGGGGGGCAACAACTGGGACCGGAGGATGTGGGAGGGGGGATGGAGCACGAGAGCTGATGTTGGTGATGTGTACAACTCTTTTTAGAAACGGTTTGACTATGGAGCTGTATGATATGTGAACATTATATGAAGAAAACTAATAAAAAGAAGGAGGAGGAGGAGGAGAAAGAAGACGGAGAAGAAGAAGACACCAAACTTGGTCTATGGTTACCCTGGGTGGAGGAGGAAGAGTTTTGACTTAGGGAGCATTGAGTTCATTTTAATGGCAGTGGAACAATTTGGAGAGGGAGGACAACAATGGTCATACAATAATGGTCATACGACAATGGTCATACGACAATGGTCATACAACAAAAAAAGTATGATCGGTGGCACTGGATTATACATAGAGAAGTTGTTGAATTAGCGAATGTTTGGTCGTATATATTTTTTGCCAAAATTGAAATAGATACATGAATAACAATGAGTACAGAGAAAAGGGAAACATTCTAAAATTGATTGTGGCAAAGATTGTACAACTCTTCTTTTTTTTTTAAATCACGTTGAGGGATGAACTTACAGCTATTATAATAATCCACACATCAATTGTATCAAGTACATTTGTACATATGTTGCCATCATCATTTTCAAAGCATTTTCTTTCTACTTGAGCCCTTGGTATCCGCTCCTCTTTTTTCCATCCCTCCACTACCCTCCACTACCCTTGTGAACCCTTGATAAATTATAAATAATTATGGTTTTTATCTCTTACAACTCCTCTTGATATGGTTGAACTATTGAATTGTATAATATGTGGATGAAGTGCTAATAAACCTATTTTTTAAAAACTTGGTTGAGAATGGAGAAGCAATAGATGTGATACTTCGTTTTGAGGTCACCACTGTATTATATCACCCAAAAAACTCAGTGCCACCGAAGGCCCATGAAGAGGGCATGCGTGAAGATGGCAACAGGCCGGGCAAAGCCTCCTCGCCATCCCAGAGAGGCCCTATGCGTCCAAGGTCAGCGAATACCCACCATCAGGTGAGCTGCCTGCGCATTAGGGCTTGAGAAGTGCTCTGCTAGAATATAGTCATTGAAAGCCAAGCCACTGCCACTGAGTCACAACCAACTCAAAACCACCACCCCCACCACCACCACCAGAAAACCCTCAGACTCACTGCGTCTGAGGCAATGCTCACTGGTGGCAGCCCTAAGGACAGAGTAGACTTGCTTCTCCAGGATCCACGACTGACTCCTTCTGGGAGTCCAAAGCCTCATCTTTCTCCCGAGGAGCAGCGGGGGGGTGGGGTGGGGGGGTTCTAATTGCTGGCTTTGCAGTTGGCACCAGAGCTCGTGGTATTATTCTAAATAAAATATCTGATTTCTCACAGATCCAAATAGACTCAATTTAGTGACATAGTCTGTGTTGATCACATAATGATACAAATTTGAGCAAGGCACCGCGGGTCATAGTTATGTTTTAGTTGATAAATGTTTATTGAGTGCATAGTACGTATCAGACATTATGCTGTGAACTAGAAACAGAATAACGAGTTAAGATGAAGTCTTTGATTAAAAAACTTTCGTAGAGAACCAGCCATGTGAAAACATAACTCCGATGAAAAATCAAAACAAAAAACTCACTCTAACAGGTCAATTCTGACTCACAGTGACCCTATAGGACAGGGTAAAACTGCCCCTGTGGGTTTCCAAGGCTGTAATTCATTTTTTAAATCATTTTATTGGGAGCTCTTATAACATTCCATACATCAATTGTATCAAACCTATTTGTACATATGTTTCCATCATCATTTTCTAAACATTTACTTTCTATTTGAGCCCTTGGTATCAGCTTCTCTTTTTTCCCTCCCTCTCCCACTCTCCCACCCTCATGAGCCCTTGATAAATTATAAATTATTATTGTTTTCATATCTTACACTGATCACTGTCTCTCTTCACCCACATTTCTGTTGTTCGTCCTGGGGGAGGGGTGGCAGAATTATGTGTCTATCATTGTAATCAGTCCCCCTTTCCTCCCCTCCTCCCCTCACCTTTCTCCTACCCTCCTGATATTGCTACTCCCATTTCTGCTCTGACCTGGATTCTGTGTGTCATGAGCTCTTATTTGTACTAGTGTACATGCTCCGGTCTATCCAGAACTGAAAGACAGGACTGGGGTCATGAAAGTGGGGGGTGAGGAAGCCTCAAAGGACCAGAGCAATATTGTGTGTTTCATTGGTGCTATGCTATGCCTGCTTGACTCATTCCTTCCTTGTGACCCTTCTATGAGGGAATGGCCTATTGTCTACAAATGGGTTTAGGGTCTCTGCTCTGACCCCCCTCGTTCTCAACAATATTTCTGTTTGTTTGTTTGTTTGTTTGTTTGTTTGTGGTCTTCTGGTGCCAGTTACCTGATTCTGTTGACACTTCATGATCACACAGGCCAGTGAGTTTCTTTCATATGAGCTTGTAGCTTCTCTGCTAAATGGTCCCTTGTTTAACTTCAAGTCTTTAAGACCCCAGACACTGTACCTTTTGATAGCCAGGCACCATCAGCTTTCTTCACCACATTTGCTTATGCACCCATTTTGTCTTCAGCAATCGTGTCAGGAGGGTGAGCATCACAGAATGCCAGTTTTTTTAAAACAAAGTATTTTTATGTTGAGGAAGGGCTTGAGTAGAGGCTGCAATACTGTAACTTTTTATGGGGGTAGACAGCCTCCTCTTTCTCCCTGTAAAGTGTGATAAATGTTAGGCAGGAGGAGGCAAACATGCATCAAGGATTCAATGACTCCTTAGAGAACCAAAGCTTCATTTTCCATAAGACCCTACAGCTTAACTTAGAAATATTTTAGGGAGAAAATGTGTACCTTCAGAGACAGCATGCTAAATATTTCTTTCACCATTAAACATATCTGAATTATTGTGATATTTTGATGTATTTCAAGAACAGGCACTTTGTTTCCAATAAGCCAAAATAGCAAAGAAGAATAATGCCCCAAGACCCTGCAAGTTACCTATCAAGGGCCACACCAGGGAACATCCAGTGCTTTGGGTTTAAAATTCAATGTATTATTAATACTTTCTTGAAAGAATCATTATCCATGATAAAATTCCTTCTCACTTTCACTTTTTTTTACCTTTTGGTGATTGTTCCTGAGAATTAAAATCCATGTCTTCTTTGGACTGGCAAATCAAACATGAGGAGCACACTTCGAACTTGCTTGGGATCTCTTGGCAAATCCTGGTGATGTTTTGAAAATCGGAGTGATTTAGAAAGATTCCTCTAAAAACCTGAGTTTCTCTTACTGGCCGCAGGAGAGTCATGAAAGAATAATTTAACAGGGACTGTGAATAGGTCAAATTAGGCTGCAGACACATTTCTAGACATGATAGTTCCAACATGTTGTCTGAAAGGAAAAAGCAAAACATTGTTTTACTATGAAATCTTGAACACTTGATATTCAAACAAAACAACAGAGTCCAAGTTTTTCTTGGACAGATTCAGTAACTTTTTTTACATGAATTTGACAAGACCTATTACATTTAGGTACACCTGGATCAATATGCATGATCACCCAAAATGGAGAAAAGATGGAAGTTTTCCAGGATTTAATTTCACTTGGATTCATAATCAATAATCATAGAAGCAGTGGTGAAGAAATCAAATGACATATTGCATTGGGCAAGTCTGCTGCAAAAATTTCTTGAAGTTGTTAAAAAGCAAAGAGGTCACTTTGAGGACTAAGGTACATTTGAGCCAAGTTATGTTATTTTCCATTGTCCCAAATGCAGGTAAAAACTGGACAATGAATATAGAAGACCAAAGAAAAATTGATGCATTTGTCTGGGTTGTTGGGAAGAATGTTGAATATACTACGAAGTTCCAGAAAAGTACAATCAGGATGCGACTTAGAGAAGAGGAGAGTGCATTTTCATTTCAAGTATTTCAGACATGTTATCAAGAGGAGCTGATCCCTGGGTAAGGATGCCAGGTTTGGTAAGCTAAAGAGAGGAAGACCCTCAAGAGATGGATTGGCACAGTGACGGCAACAATGGGCTCAAATATAGCAATGATTGCGAGATTGGCATCAACCCAAACCCAAACTCACCGCCCTGAAGGCAAGCCCATCTCGCAATCGTATAGGACAGGGTGGAACTACCCCTGTGGGTTACTGAGGCTGGAAGTCTTCACGGGAGTAGAAAGCCTCCTCTTTCTCACACAGACCAGCTAGTGGTTTCAAACTGCTGATCTTACAGCTAGCAAGCCAATGAGTAACCACTACACCACCAGTGCTCCCAGATGAGCTCAGCACAGAACCAGGCAAATGTTTATTTCAATTGTGCATGGGTCCTTATCAGTCAGGACCCAGTCAATGGCATCTAACATTATACTTTTATTATTTAATGATAAATTACCGGTCCGCTATCTTTGAAATTACTTCTGTAATAATTTCTATTTAATTTCCAGCTATAAAAGATGTCATACTTGAATTGCTATAAAGGCTTGGGGGGAAGGGATGCATGGAATTTTATTCACATACACAATTTTATAATATAATAAATGTATAATCAAAGTTGTAATCAAATTGTAAGTGTAATAAAAAAATGTAATGATGTCTCAGGGAACAGATGAAAATGTACCGTCTGATGGAACTGTATGATCGATAGCTTCTTTATGTGACAAAGCACACGGAAAGCTTATTTTTGCCATCCTTCCATTTCCTTGCTGACACTTGTTATCTTATAAAATTCTCGACTTCTTGAATTTATATTGCAAACGATAGAACTTCGAAGGGAGATAGAAATTTATACCATCAATCTTGCAGTTTTCTTATCCAATAAATGACCAACTGGGCTTTTGAGAATTGATGACTATCTTTTATATTTGACTAGAAGGACATTTTATGGTGGTTTTTAAAGTACAGTTTTAAATAATTCAATTGAAAAAGAAATAAATAGAGGGCACATCCTCTCCTGATATCATTCTTAGAAATAAATAAATCCTACTCAATCATTTTGTCACCAGGTAGGCAATATTCGCATCTCCATAGACAAGGATTTATGAATTTAACTACAGCCATTAATTTTGCTGGGAGCCAGACATCCAAATGCTCACTCCCCAACTTAGAAATGCAGTCCATAATTGCTCCAGCCCTAAGACTGACACCTCTCCGAGGAAGTTTATGGAATACTAAATAGAATTAGAAAAATGCATCACGGTGCAGGACCAATGCCCTCTCAGGTTATTTTCTCATTTTAAGGAACAAAAAAGAGTAAGCGTAAAGAAATATCAACTATCACTATTTTCTTTTAAATATTTTATTGCAATAATATGCCAAACATAAACATATAAAAATGCTTCCGGGCTAGTTAAAGAATAGTAAACATGAAACAAGCACCCACATGGCTAACAGCTCTGAAGCATCCTGTGCCTTCCTCTCCCTAGACTTGCCTCTTTCCCAAAGAGTCACCACGACTGGGGATGGGGTGTTGACCAGCCCTTTCTCTCATAAGCTTACCAGCACATATGCATTCCTGAACAACACTCTCGTTTTCCATACTTTGTTAGTATATAACATACACTGGGCTATTCACTTGTAATTTGGGTGTGTTTGGTTTTGTTTTATTTTGCTGGTGGCTTTTTGTTGTTATGGATGTTGTTGCTTAATATATTTTAGTCACGTTGATGCATGTAACTCTGATTAATTATTGTTATATGCTTTTTATTGAATATATGAAAATGTATTCATTCTACAGTTAGCATTTGTTCCTAATCTTGCTGTTATGAATAATGCCGCCATGACCTGGACCTCTTACCCTGTACATTACTGGTAGGCATGTAAAAGTCTACTTTAACTGATGGTTTTTAAACCCTCTGTATCTTTCATGTTCTACGGAATCTCTGTTTATTTATCCTCTTCGGTTTTCTGAGTCTGAGAAATTCTTTCACTGAGCCTGTAAAATGCACATCCAATCTCATTTTAAATATTGCTTCTCCTCACTTCTGTTTCTATCTTTTTATCTCTTTGAATCTCTGTGCTGCAGTCTGGGTAATGTCTTCAGATCAATATTCCAATTAATTTATCCTTCAGTTGTGTCTAATCTGTTTACTTCATTCTTTGTGCTTCTAAATTATTAGTGCTTCACAATTAAAAGTTCGAATTGGTTCTTTCCCAAACCTGCCTGGTTCTTTAGTAAATATATTGTCTTTGTTCCTGTTGTTGAAATATACATTGTAACATATATGCCATTCTAAAGGGGCAACGCAATGACCTTGGTTACATTCTTCAATCTGGCACCCATTCTCACCCTCCTGTGGACCCATATTGAATATGCTTATTTTATATTCCATATCCTATCGTTCTAATATCTGAATCCTTTGAAGGTCTGATTTTTGTTTTCTGTTTCTAGTGACCCTTCCTGGTTGAGTCGTCACGTGTTTCGGGATGTTTGGCAGTGGCTCGTTTTTCTGGGGGAATTTAATTGGGGAAATTACTTGAGACCGGATCTGAAGGTGCGTTCCTCCAGGAGTATTGGTGTTTGTTTGTCCTTCCTTGGTGTCTGTTGATACGATCAAACCGAAAAGGCTTTAATTAAATTCTTGACTCGGGCTTTTCATTTTCACAGCAATGACTCCCAGAATCCAAAGTATGACCACTTTAGACAATTAAACCTTACAGAGGAATTGAGCCCTGTCGTTGCTGCTGCTGCTGCTATTAGGTGCCATCGAGTCCACTCGGACCCATTGTGTCCTTGCCCACAAGAGAACTAAACACTGCCCTGTCCTGTGCCATCCTCATTGTCCCCATACTTGAGCCCACGGTTGCAGCCACCGAGTCGATCCGTCTCATGAGGGGCCTTCCTCCTTTTGTGCTGCCCCTCTACTTTACCAAGAATGATGTCCTTCTTCAGGGACTGGTCTCTCCTGACAACATGTCCAAAGTACGTAAGACACGTCTCACCATCCTTGCCTCTACGGAGTACTCGGGCCATTCTTCTTCCTGGGCAGATTTGCTGAGCCGTTTGGCAGTCATGGTACGTTCAATCTTCTTTACCAGCACCACCGTCCAAACGCATCAGTTCTCCTCTTCCTTACTCAAGGCCCAACTTTCACATGCTTATAAGCCAATGGAAAGTGCCGTGGCGTGGGTCAGGCCCACTTTAGTCCTCAAAGTAACCTCTCTGCTTTTCCACGCTCTAAAGGGATCTTGTGCAGCAGATTTGCCCAGTGTGTCATTTGATCTCCGCTGCTTCCATGAACATCGATTGTGGAGCCAAGCAAAACAGAATCCTTCACAACTTCAAACGTTTCTCCATTTAACATGATGTTCCCTGTTAGTCCAGCTGTGCAGATTTTGGTCTTCTTTGCTTTGAATCATAGCCCACGCTAAAGGCTGCAATCTTCATCAGCAAGGGCCTCATGTCCTCCTCGCTTTCAGCAAGCAAGGTGTGCCATCTGCAGATCGCAGGCTGTTAATGAGCCTTCCTCCACTCCGGATGCCTCACTCTTCTTCACGTCATCCAGCTTCTCTGGTGATTTCCTCAGCATCCGATTGAAAAGGTACGGGGAGAGGATACAACTCTTTGCACACCTTTCCTGATCTGAAGCCATGCACTGTGGCCTTGTTCTATCAGCACAACTGCTCTTGATCCAGGCACAGGTTCAGCACGAGCCTAATGAAGTGTCATGGGATCCCCATTCTTCTCAAGGCTAGCCATAGATTTAGCATCACAGTACAACAAACGGACAGACAACTGGTGGGTCTACAGGGTGTCACATGGGACCTATGGAATTGACTCCATGGTGCTGAGGTTTTTTCCGTTTGCAAGCTCTCAAGAAAGACTTCTCTCTGTCCCACGCACAGCTCAGACGAAGGCAGGTGAATTTCTTCACAGCCAGGCAGGATTGTTTCTGAGAGTTCCTTTTCATGAAACCTGTCACCTTTCAGAGGGTTTCTCTCCTCTGTTGTGTTACATATGGCCCAGTGAGAGTGAGATGGTAGTCCACCAGGAATTGCTTAATCCTCCTGAGGTAACCAATTCTTGCCTGTTTGCTTATGCACCCGAATCTGCAAGTTCTAGTTATTTTTGACCTCTGAGAAGGTTTCTTTTTTTTTTTATTGAAGGTTTCTTATTTCTTCAGCAGCTCACCTATGTGTGTTTTAAAGTTTCACATTGTTTTATCTTGCATTTTTAGATGGTTTGTATCGGGAGTATTTTTCAGGATGTGACTGGCAGAAATAGAAATCTCAAGTCCCTGCTGACCTTTAAAAAGAAGTGAGAATTTATAATAAAATCTTCATGGTTTGGCACATAACAGGAGCTCCAGAAACTTCTCTGTGTCAAGTCAGACTTTCCTAATACCTAGGCTACTCCCCTGCTCATTAGTTGTCAGGCACCTTTGGGG